CTATTTGATAGGATAAAGTAATTTTTTTATTATTTTAAATTTCAAATTATTTGGCGCTTTTATATTTGCTGGTACTTGTGGCGCCGCGTTATGTGCTCTCCATGTACTAAGGAACGCCACCGCAGGGGCTAACAACAGATTTCTCCCCCCTGACTTGAACTTTACTCATCAGTGGCTATACAACAGATTTCTCATATGACTTGGTCCCCCTGCTTCTGTCTTTATATAATATATGAACTACTTTAAGTTTAAATGTTCTTATACTTGTAACACTTTCCCGAACTCTACAAATATTTCTTTTTTCAAAAAAAAATATTGAATAAAACACAATTTAATTAATCAAATAACAAATTGTTAAAATGATCAATTCGAACTACTTCAGATTAATATTGTTAGGTTAGTTTAGTTTATTGAACAATATTTACTTTGAAAATGCTTCAAAAAAGTAGATTGCACAGTATATTCATTCGCGGCTATTGCGATTACAAAAAAAGTTATATGACGCGGAATTTGAAGATGAAACACGGCTTGAAGATTTCCAAATATTTCGAATCCATGCCCCACTTGAAGGAGATCAAGGAATTCATCCCAAAGAAGTATTTATTGCAGAAGCGTCAATACTCTGCTGAAAATCTCTATCTGATAGATTCGAAAATAGCAAAGAGTATAGTGAGGCATGTCATCCCTGCAATTTGCAATGGACCCCAAACTATTTGTGAAACTGGAGCTGGTTTGGGGCTCATCACCTCAGAGCTGTTAGACTGTAAAATACCATGTGTTAGGCTTTATGAACCATGTCAAGATTTTAGGATCACATTGAGGGTAATGATGTTATAACTTATATATTTTTATATTCATTAGTTTATTTTAATATAGGATTTCAATAGGGTTTATCCAGGAAGGGTGGAACTTTTTGTTAAAGATATTTTCCAACTAACTAGATTGTCTGGTATGGACAAACTTGATAGGAGCAATAGAGTTGATCAATTATTAAAAGGTGTCCCAATAAAGGAATGGAAACATGGTAAATATTGAAATGGTATTTGTAAATTGTATTATGTTTGAAAATATTTGGTGCCAAATAACAATACTGCTGTTATTATTATGATTTACACTGCAAAACATACAAATTTAAGGTCCTGCTATGACAATTATTGGAACGATGACGAGCATAAGTTTTATAACGTATTTAATGAAAATGCTGGCTTTGCAATCAGAAATAAACACGCACGGAAGGATACAACTTTTCACTATAATGAGACCAGGAGATTATGTTGTATAGTAATATTATATATATATTTTAACTTTGAAATTGCATATCGTTTATTTTTAGAAACTATCCGCAGGACCGAGTAATAATTTACACACATACCAAAGTTGGAGTGTATTGTTCGATTTATTTTTCGATCACGAATTACTAGAAAAATATCCGCGTACAGCGTTTCTGCCTTGGGAGATGAAAGCAAAAATAACTAATAAAACCAGAGTGGTAAATTGAATGTTTAAAATATTCGAAAATGATTTACATACATTTCTTTCGAAATTCCAGATAAAGAAAGTCGATTTAGAGTATATGTATTTTGTGAAAATTAATTTTAAGAAAGAACTACCTACAGATAATCATCTGTTATTACCATTACACTATTTTGTACGTCAGTTCTTTGGACGGGGAAAAAACAAAATTATTCCAACTTTGGAGTAAGTATACTGAATGAAATTCTACTGATTATATGTAATTAATTGTGTTTGTAGGAAATGGATTCCAGGTGTTGGTTTAAATTTGCTGATACCAAAATTGGTGCATAGTCATTATTACAACAATTTAACTATTTTTACTGAATTCGGTGATTTGACACCTCAAGAAATCCTCGGACTTTTCAAGGAAATGATAAATCACGAGGGTTACCAAGGCAGTTCATTCGCTGCGATGGTAGAATCTGAGCTGTTGAAGTCTGAGACCCGAGAGACATCAATAAACGATGACATACCTTTCAACAAAGATCTAATAGATGACCTAGAGGAGAAAATAGATAATTAAATAATTAAATTGTTTTTGTTTAAATTTCCCGGTCCGTCCTCAGTATTTACTTTATTAATTAGTTACCTGTCCGATTGCGGCACTGCTATCGCAAAAGTGACGTTTGGATACGTCAACACGGATGGCAAAAAGCAGTGAATGCAAGTTTAAAATGTGATTTTTCCGTGTAGTCGAGTGGCTGAAATCGTAAAACGTGAAAATGCCATTAGATTCCAATTAGAACGGATTCCCGGTGGGCGACGCACGAAAGATGTTCAGCAAGAAGATCACGGACGTGAAGAAGTCGACATTAAAAATCCAGGATGCGAAAAAGGACTTAGCAACCAGGGTGAAACATTTGAAAATTATCCTGGGTAACACATTTACAAGGTAAACAATGCCTGCTCAGATTGTATATTAATTCAATTGGTTTCAGATAATGTGGATCACAGTGAAGCTAAAGGCTTATTCGAGGCCAACTTTAGTCACATATTCCAAATCCTGTATGACACATTTGTATTGGCTGAAGGCAATTTGAAGCAAAGAGGTGAGTTCATTTTTGTTACACTCGTATATTAATGGTGGGTCTTGGGCTCTTCACTAATATCTCTATCTCTTTCTGTTTGTTGATGCAGAGCTCTCTTTTCACTTGGGTGAGTCTACATGTTTTATATCACAAATAAGAGATTTGTTTAACAAATTCAATTTTATTTTAGTGCACAAGGCTCACAAGGAGGAATTGGAGGGGGCACTTTGGATTCTAGAACAGGTGTTATCATTGTTGCCCGAATTAATACATAAGAGATGGCAGATCCATTCATTGGGCAGGATTCTGTCAAAGCTGTTGCATCCAGGAAATACATCAAAACTGAGGCAGCAAGCTATCAAGTTTTTTTTAATGTGGTATCAAGCTTTAAACGAGAATGCTCCAGACCAGGTGCACCACATGTTTGCGTCTATAGTCCCAGGCTTTGTCGCGAAATCAGCGTTCCCTTTGCAAGCGAGTGGAAGCGTATTTCATGATAGTTCAGCCCAAAATCCCGTCACACCCATTGAACTGTTACCTATACTCCCAGCTACTAGCTCTGATAATGTAAATAAATCATATATGGATATTTTATTGGAGAACATGGCTAATACAGTTGTGAGATTGGAATGGCATGATAAGGCTTCTCATCATCACCGATGTTTTCACTTCCTTTTGGAGAGGTTTAAGATCCATTATTTGCCGAAACTGTGTCCTCAGTTTTGCCAAGAAACATCGCTATATAGGCCAAATCTCGAATTGCCAGTGGTTAGGAAACCAGAAGCGGAAACAAAGTATCTCACATGTCGCGTAATCTTGATTAAATGGGTGACTCATTACACGCATCAAATTAAAAAGCAAGAGTATAATAGCACTAATCCTCCAACCACTCCAGCTTCGCAAACCTCAAATATAAATGATGACGAGAGTCACGATTCTTCTCATCCTAGTTTAGATTCAAGTAAGAATAATATACAAGATAAATATATTAAGAGATTAATAATTAAAACTTATGTAGATATGTCAATGCAGACTACAAAGGCACCAACTGACGAAGAGTTAGCTTCGCAAATTGTGAGAGAAGTCTTTTGGTCTTCCAGGGACAATGTTAATTTTATCCACGAGCTCTACAGACAGGCGTTTCTTTTGAATTTCAACTATCCTCTGGCCATAAGAAAGACAATTGTGATGTACAAAGATTTGATACAAATGAACGTACCGGAAGTCCCACCTTATATGCTCGAGCCGATGGACGAATCTGCCACCAACAGACATTCCGAAGTTGAGGGATTCAGGCCGGGGCGTCTACGAAACGATTCGTATTTAGGTGCTATACAAAAAGAAAATCTTTTGGTCAGAGCTGGTCTACAAGTAATATTTATTGAGATTTTCATGTATTATTATTAAAATAATTGATTTTAGAATGTCCTACAATTGTTCATGACTCACGCGGCAAATGTATTTCTATTGGAAGTGAATACAGATGTTCCGAAATTACTAGAAGAGCAAACCGATACCTGCAAACGAGTGTTAAATATTTATCGTTACATGGTGATGCATACAAGAATGGATAACGCTACTTGGGAACAACTGCTTGTGGTTCTTTTGCAAATTACGTCGCTTGTTATCGGCGAGGCTCAACCTAAGATTAAACAACCCGCATTAGGACGAAAGTTAGCTCCGGCAATATTTCAAACGTTAATCGTTACATGGATTAAGGCTAATTTGAATGTGATGATAAGCAGGGATCTTTGGGATAGGTTTCTGGGAGTGCTCACCTCGCTGACACACTGGGAGGAGCTGATAAAGGAATGGGCTAAAACTATGGAAACATTAACCAGGGTATTAGCCAGACACGTATATAACCTAGATTTGACTGATCTTCCATTGGATCGATTATCTGAACAAAAAAATAAGAAAACACGACGGGGTATTAGTAAAATAGAAATATCTAGTGTTGGGAGTGCTGGTGGATCCCATCCTGTTGTTGCCAGGCAAGACTCGAATGTACCAGATGGTTCTATCATAGCGAAGCTATCAAAACCAGGATTGGCTAGAAGTTTTAGTGAAACCAATCTAACGAAACGACGATCTTCTACTAGAAATCAGCAAAGGCACCCTAGAAGATCCCATTCGTTGGACAATTTAAGGCAGCAAGATACCGATTCGACAGATAGAACACGTTCGCCTAGTCCAGCTCCGTCCAGTGGCTTAGAAAGCACGTCAATCAAAGATACTCCGATCCAATTGGACGTTTTAGCTTCAGAAAATGCCAGTAATGAAGCAGGCGGTGAACATAGAGGTGTAGTTTGCGGCGGATCAGTCCGAGGTTGGCTACCTGATGTCGCTGTTATATTGTGGAGGCGAATGTTGGGAGCTTTAGGTAAAACCTAAAAATAGTCATATCTCATACATATTGCTACAAATTGATTTATTTTCAGGAAACGTGAATAAAATCGCCGATCCAAATTTGCATGCTCAAGTATTTGATTATCTGGTAAAGTTAAATAGTACTCTGATAAAAATCAAAATGAACCAGGGAATTTCGATTGATAATCAGAGTACGCCCATCTCGCCCGAACTTGTACCACCCCTCACTCTGATCCTTCCATGGTGCTTCGGAGCCCTCAATTTACCGCAAAATTATGAGGCCGGAAAGATCAATGCACTTCGATTAGTCTGCACCATCACAGTCCACTGCAATCCGCAACATAGAAATTATCTACCGCTGTTCTACCGATCGCTACACATTGGTATGTACATGTATCCAATTACAATCACGCCCTCCTTGAATTATCTCATATCGGACAATTCGTGCAATAGACACTTTCACACAGTCGTTCTCTTTGAAAATGTATAATCCATGCTATAAAAAGTCAAAGAAAAAGCGTTCAACAGAAGAAGAGCGTACGTTATTTTATATTTATTTTTGTTATTTTTTCTCAAATGTATTAATTAGATGTGATTGACTTAATTAACTTAAACTATAAATTGTGGAATTGCCAAAAATTAATTAATATTTATTTTTCAGCATTCTATGGCAATTCAAGGGCTGCCTTGAACATCGCTCTGAGACACTTGGGTCCAAGATTTTTGTCGCTTCAATTAGCTGGATCTTCAGTACTATCCTTCGATTTGCTGCATTCGTGTAACACCGTTCTTAATTCTTCTGATCTTTCTCAAGCAACGCCACGGACGGAAGCCGTCTCAATTTTGGGTGGATTGCTAAGCTCACCGCATACAAACTCCATGTCCGTTTTTCAACCGGAGTTATCTATAAGGTTGATGCCTTACCCAGATAAGTTAAAAGTAAATCTTATTTCAATATGAAATTTAACTAAAACATGAGAATATTTACATGTATTGTTATTTTCTTTCTAGGATCATATTGTTGAAATTTTGCTGAGAGCTGGAAAAAGAGAGCCGACGGGAATGGCTCGATGTATTGCAATAACAGCTTTGGGTCATTTCGTATATAGAGAATTAATGAATCAAACTTTTCATCCTAGTGTCGTTGATGCCATGAACGTGATACTTTGGTCTTTGAAGGTTTTTTTTTAGAGTTATCAAGAGTTTTATTTGTTTAATCGTTAATTTTTAGTTTAATCATAACACTATTGCGAAATTAGCTAGCAACACTCTCTTCTTGCTATGTGACCACGCCGAAGTTCTCTGGAATCAATACCCAAGGTTAGCTGATTCAGTGATTCGCAGCATTTGCGGTGCATTATTCCTTCATCTTCCGACCTCAAAAACTGCTGGAGACTGTGACAAGGCGTTAAGTACATCGTTGTTATTGTGTTTGGGTGAATGGTGCATGCGTCTTGGATCCAATAAATTGATTCGAATTTCCGAATATGGTGATACTAGAGGGACATCTTTACTATTGCTTGTATTCAAAGTAAGTACTTTTTAAATAATCCTACAGATTTTTTAAAATAATTGAATTCTAGGTATTACATGCGTTAATAAAAGGAGAAACTTCCGGATTTTCCGTTGGTTCCGGTCAAATTCCAGATGACTATGAACCGAGCTTATTTTTGGATAATTTAGATAGTGGTCGCGTTCAGCATTCATCTCCGTCCCAATGTCGCGATGCTGTTGTTCTTTGTGCTCGTACTGTCCTAGCCCACCTTGTAACACACTTGGGTCATTTCCCGATGGCCATAGGAGCTGCGCGGTTGAGTTCTTTAGTAGTTGAACACGATGATGTTCCTCATTTAAACTCTGACGAGTTATCAATGGATATCTTCAACTCACCAAATATACAAGTACAAATTACTTTAATTCAATTATAATCCTATCTTTCAATTGTCTTTTCTTTTAGTTGTTTGTTTTAACACCATCGGTGATTGCTAGTTTAGTAGAACTTCCGTCCTTAGATTTACCAGGTGGAGGAATTACGGCCGGATTATCCACTGCGGATCGACAGGTGCGTGTCTTATTGCGAGATTTGTCTGGAAAAGTAAGCTGGGATACGTCGATCTTATATCGGACACCGGAAATGTGTGGCGGTAATCAAGAAAATGAAGAGAAACCTTGCAAAGATAGCATGATTTCTTCATCGGGTTGTAAATGGGGACCCATGAGCATGATCCAACCTGAGAGTTTGATGATGCCCTATCCATTCAATAACTTGCAACAAAGGGCGATGAGACACAGAAATGCAAATGTATTGCCTAGTGTAGAAAACGCGGCTCCAGATCTAGATCAATTGGATGATGTAAGTACATATTCTTATTAAATTTTATATACAAAAAAAAATCTGTATTGATTTATTGAAAATATTTAATAAATTGAATTGGGTTTTACAGTTGTTACAGTATTTGGGACACACCAGTCCCGAATGTTTGGAGAGTGCAGATAGGAAATTGAACGAGGCAGCTCCATCCCCAATATCCCGTGAATGCGAGGCCGAAGCAATTGCTTCCGTTATAAGCCAAAGCAATTTAGAGTTAGATGCTATTCGCTATGCGCAAAGTGTTGATGCGATGTATGATCAACCTGCCAGTAGACCAAGCAGTAGAATCAGTGGATCGATTAGTTCTAGCGATTTTAATATTAATCAGCATGGTAAGATAATAAAAATTAAAATATTTTATAGATGTTCAATTAATAAATAAATCTTAGGTTTGGTTGACTCCGTAGAACAAAACGCATTTCAACAGTGTCGTTTACTCTTCTCGCAACTGGGCTTAGCAGGCTGGGAGCGCCGCAAGCAATTGCATTTACTTAAGAAGAATGAGAGGCTTTTGCGGGAACTGCGAAATTTGGATAATCAAAGATGCAGAGAAACACATAAAGTCGCTATCATTTATGTTGCACCAGGACAAGAAGATAAAAATTCCATTCTATCGAATCAGGGTGGCAGTGTGGCATATGAGCAGTTCTTAGCTGCTCTTGCCTGGGAGGTTGAGCTTGAAGGACATACAGGGTTTTTGGGTGGATTACAGCGTCAAGGCTCCACAGGGCTTACAGCACCTTACTTTGCCACCAGTTTTTTTGAAGTCATATTTCATGTAGCTACAAGAATGCCAGGGGATACTCCAGAAGCAGTCTTGAGCAAAGTAAGTTCAATTATAGTCATCATACCATAGTTACACATTTATATTAATATACTTGCCATTTACAGACTAGGCATTTAGGGAATGATGAAGTGCATATAGTTTGGTCAGAGCATGGACGCGATTATAGACGGGACATTATCCCTACTGAATTCTGTGATATATTGATTACTATCTATCCACTCGGAAACAATTTAAATAGGATCACCCTTAATTGCAAGCCGGACGTTCCGTGCTTTGGTATTCTCTTCGATGAGGCTATTATCGAGAACAAAATTTTAGCCGGTGTCATCAGGACTGCAGTGATATGCGCCAGTAGGGCCAAAAGATCCACACTCCCCTATTACCAACAATAGTATGTAGAATATTTATTTACTAGTATAATATTTAAAATATTTATTTAAAAAAAAAACGTTTTTTCACAGTTATGAAGAGAGAGCGAGAAGTTTAGACACGGTTGTAACTAAACATCGTGATGCAACTACCTACGAAGATTTCATCGCCAGGGTTTATAGTCCAGTGATGAGCTTGAATTCCATGTCGTATAGTGCTTCAGCAGGCGGAGGCGATGCCTCTTCCTCGTCCAGTAATCCATCTAGTCTCGCTGCTGCATTACTAGATTCTGGACAATCATTGAAAACAAGTCAAAGAGAACACAAATTTAAAGGTAATATTTTCTATGTTCTGTAGTGGACACGTTAGTTCTATCTTACAATGAGTTTTCTAAGAATATCTTTATAATCAATATTAGATTCGAGGGGAGTTTGGTTTAACCATGCGGACAACGTGGAATCAACGAGTATATCCCCGAGGCCACTAAAGAAATTACAAACAACATTGAAGAATGTTCCAAGAAGATCCATGAAACAAGATCAGCACCATTCCAGTGACAATCCGCCGGAGAGTCCTACGCAATCCATGCGGAAAAAATGATACATCCTCAATCGAGACTAAATTTTGAACAAGACTGTAAAATATATGAAAAAAAGCGAAATAATTGAAGGTAAACTTTATATACTATTTCCAATTTCAACTTAGACGTGCATTTTACAAAAGGAAGTACTTGTTCGTTTTTCAATTATTTGTATATATACTCGATATGATTGTAGTTATAAGATTTTAGAACGAGAAATTAGTGGAACGGTCACAATCCAAGAACATTGCTCTAACACAAAGATCCATAGTTGCGCCACTTGAAGGAATACACCCAACAGTAAAACACACTTTTATTTGGATTAAAAATCTTTTTTTTATTAATTTTCTTTTAATTCGGCAATTACTTAAGAATTAACCAAAGTATTAATACTATATAGTGCACGTTAGTGATTTTAATTGAAGTGGCTTTAAAATTTTTATAAATTCCATTTTAATGTAATTGTAATTACTTTGTTTCTTGCACTGTCCTCTGTATATAACGACAATATATATATATATATATCAAATATGATTTTGATTAAGCTTCTTAGCAATGAAAACAAGGAAACAAAGAAGTATGAGAAAAAGGTTTTAAGGAATGTATTGTGTACATATTTATATAATATTTTGTTAAAACTTCTTGCTAATAGCACACAGTATTAGGTAATATTTATTCATAACTAGCTTCAAAATACTATATTTATAAAAGGAAACCATCCCATGGTTCATTTGTATAGAATGTAAGATATTTTTTAAGTAACACTATGTACTTATTTATACAACCGTAAAGAAAGTTATATATATATACATATTAAAACATGGCTTTATTAATAAAACAAAACAATAATATTAGCATTAATTTTCTCCTTGCATTTTAATTGTCAATAGTTGACAGATCATCAGTTATGTTACAATTGGTATCGAAATGGTCATCGCACCATTCCCAGTCATCAAATTGGGTACTCTGTTTCTGAAGCAAGTCAGCAAACCGATTGCTAAATTCTGCGAAAAAGAAGCCAAAAGTCATCCAATCTTTAGGAAGTACGTTTGTATGCCACCAGCGCAAAGTATGTACACTTAAAAAAAATAACAATTATAATATTAAATTTGATACATATATTCTTAAATTACTAAAAAAAACCGTATATTTTTAATTACCAATAATCAACCTATGATACAAGTATATTTATATAAAACAAAAATGACAATTTTGATATTACTATATTAACTAAAACTTAACATTTATTTATGCTCTAAATGGAACTATTTTCTATAATAACATTAATAAATTTTCAAGGATCGAAAGGTTTTTATTTAAGACATGATTTCGATACACACTGTATAAAAAATCAATGTAAACCTTATGTCATCAAAGTTTGTAGGATTGCCTAAGCATATCTATTTCTGAGAGTACTATAAATGATATCATTATTTTGCATCTCATCGGTGAACTCAATTTTTGTTATTCTGGGACGCGTGCGAATGTTTTATTGTTACAAATCAATTAGAAATTGGTTGTAAACAATGGTGGTGCACGCGTTTCCCATTGCGAAGTTAGGTGCTTTGTTAGTGAAACAAGTGAGTAAACCCATAGCAAAGTTCTGCCAGGAAAGCGCCAAATCTTCTCCAGTTTTTAGGAAATATGTATGCATTCCACCAGCCACTGGTAAAAAAAAGTACATGTTACTTGTTCTATACGAAAACGATTCGCATTCTTGTTTCAGTATACAATTGGTGTGAAGTGAAGATGAAAATGTGGATCCTGAACTTGGGCAAACCTGTGAACATCCCTGTCCTGAATGAAGCTATGGCAATTGAACTTGGTGCTAGCTTGTTAGGTGAAGCTGTTATATTTATCATAGCTTCTGGGATCCTAATAGCTGAGTATACTAGGTCAGCTAGGAAAGAGGAGCGGAAGGAACAAGAAATTAAAGCAGAGAAGAAGAAACTCAATGAAGCACTGCAGGATCTATACTTCATGACTCAAAAGCAGGACACTCAGATCAGAGAGTTGACTAGGAAAATCTATGAGATGGAAGGAAAGGTTGTGCAGAAATCTTGGATGAAAAAGGGCGATGAGAAGAGTGAACCTCCACCTACTTCACCACCACCTCTTGTACCCAAATCTGAATTGCTTGTTAATATTATATCTGAAGAAGTTGGTGAGATGGAAGTTAATACTAAGGAGGAAGAGCACAAAATTATTGAATTGGTTGAGAATAAGAAACATGCAATGAAAGAAGAAGGCAGTTTGCTTATGAGAGCTGTGGCTTTAGTTGAAAAGGATTTTTGGCTTCAGCAGGACCAAGAACGAGATGTTGGTGTCCTGACAGCAGCTATAAACCACCTGTATAAAGATGTTTATAGAATACCATTAAGATTATAAAATGTATTAAAGATGATTTAAGGATGCAAAATGGCGTAGTTTAATTATTGCTAGATCGTTATTTAATTTAGTACTCGTTTGTTGTAAATAATTTTAATAATTTATTTTAATAAATATTTGTTGAGATGCAGACACACACACACATCTATTCTTCTTTGTTGTGCAGCTTTTGGTGTCGCTTAAGTTCGTGTCGCATACGAAAGCGTTTGTCGCACACATCGCACGTCCACGGATTGTATCCCGTATGCAGCCAACTGTGCACCTTGTACTCGTATGCTCTCCGAAACTTTTTATCGCATAGATTGCATTCGAAACGAAAGTTTTCCGTGTGAAAGGTGTTGTGCACGTGTAATGAAGATTTTTGCTTGAAGGATTTTCCGCATGTAGAGCACACGAAGGGTCGTTCGTTGGTATGGATGTTTCTATGCATATCTCTAGTAGATTTGTCCGCAAAGCTGCGATCGCATAGATCACACGCAAACTTCTTGACACCGAGATGTGTAAAATCAACGTGTTTCTTCAATCCGCTTGCCATCCTGAAGGATTTGCCGCAAATGTGGCAACAGTATTCACGTGCACCAGTGTGTATTGTGTAATGCGACATGAGCATGTAGGATTTACTGCAGATTTTCGAGCACACATCGCATCGATAGAAATGGTTATTGAAGGAATCCACGACTTTGCAACGCTCCAGCAAAATCTGCTTATGCGAGACGTCCTCATCGCATTTTCGGGCATAATCTTCTGGATGCTTGAACTTCATATGCTTTTGGCTGTCGTACTTTCGCAAGAATCCCTTCGGACAGAAATGGCAGAAATAGTTGTGGGCCACCTCCGCTTTGGTCCTGCGGTTTCGGACTGCTTTTGACTTGACGGTATTACTGGACAAGCATTTAACAATGACAGTGGGCTTTAAGTCTTCTTTGGTTCTAAAAGCAAACAAAAGCCAAATGAAATTGATGTGCTTTATTTTAGTTATCAGATACTACACTATATATATTTCAACATCTATATAACTTCTTCCATAGTTGAATCAGCGGATGCTGGAATTTTCTGACAGTTGTCTTGTCGGTGTTTGGCGAGGTATCGGCCTCGACTGAAATTAGCACCACAATCAGGACATACGTGCTCATTATTTGCGTTATGTGTATTGGCGTGTTTCTTCAGAGCAGTGCCTACTCGAAAGGATGCTCCGCAAATGTCGCACTTGTATGGCCTATGCCCTGTATGCAGCCAACTATGTACTTTCAGTTCGCTCGACCTGCGATATTTCTTTCCGCAAATAGTGCATTCAAATCTAAAATTGTTGCTGTGGAACAACTTGTGCGCGTACAGGCTACCCCTCTGTCTGAATGATTTGCCGCAGACGTCGCATATGTAGGGTCTGGTGTTGGTGTGCTTGTTCATATGCTCCTCCAAGAAAGCCTTGGTTGCAAAGCGCATTTGACAAATGGTGCAGGAGAACTTGCGGATCTTATTGTGAAAAGCGTTGATGTGGATGTTGAGGTTGCTGCCCTGACGGAAACGTTTCCCACAAATATGGCACGAGAAGTTCCTGATACCGGTGTGAATAGTCTGATGCGTTATCAGACTCGAGGAAAATTTGTAAATTTTCTCGCAGAACTCGCACTTGTAGAAGACCTTATCGTCCGGTCCAGAAATTCTGCACCGTCTCACCAGCTCTGAATGCATCGTTCGCTGCGATTTCTTTTTCACTGTTTTCGCAGGATTTGGTGGTGGCTCCTCAATGTTCGAATGCTTTAGTCGTTTATGTCTTTTCATAATGCCGTTCTGGGCGTAACCTCTGTGACAGATATCGCAGTAATACTTTGATTCGATCTCGTCCGGTTTACGTCTCGGCATTTTAATAAGTTCCCCATGTTCACTTTTCAAGTGTATTCTAAGTTTCGTCCTGTTGACAAAAGTTGCCATGCACAGATCACATTTACTGGAATTTTCGACACCGTGCTGCAGCCTCTTATGCCTTAACACAACGTAACTGTTGCTAAACTTCTTCCCGCACACGTCACATCTATGATTCGATTTCGCCCTACAATGAAAATGTTAAATATTATTTACATATAAACAAAGTAAACATTCTTCAAATTTCATTATGAAAACAAAAATCTAGAACAATTTCCAGATGTTAAAATATTTTTTTTGTAATATTTAGTTTTAAAAAATATATCCATTTTTGTAATTGAAACATAGTTCAATTACAAATATAAACGCTTGAATTAAGAACATTCAGTTTCCATTAGGGCAATCGATAAATATTTATTTATATTTTTTTTACAATATATAATTACAAATGGTATAAATTCTTCAAGAAATAATAATATTAATGTTAACGATTTTACTACAGTTGCATACAATAATTTTTCTCTTAATTCACGTTGTCTTTTTACCGATTTAAAAAGAATACATTGTATTTGTAACATGAACCAAAATATGCAAGTATATAAATGTTTGGCATTTCTGTATTCATTTTATTTTATCCAATGTTGTCAATGTTATGACAGAGAGCAAATATACGATTAAGTAGTTTCCGTGTTGTGATTGATTTTGAGGTGATTACGCAGGTATCTCTTTTGTCGGAAGCCGAGTCCGCATTCGGAACAGACGAAGGGTTTCTCATCGGAGTGTATGAGCATGTGCCTCTTCAGTTCGTACTTGATCCGAAAGCAACGACCGCATACTTCGCACGGATAGGGCTTCTCTCCTGTGTGTTTGGTTACGTGTATGAGGAGCGGAGGTCGTGATCGGAACCGCTGATTGCAATAGCTGCAGCAGAACGGGAATGAATTAGAGTGCGAACGATTGTGGACGAAAAGGGAAGCCTTCTGTTTGAAGGATTTTCCGCAGAGGTCGCAGATGTAGGGTCGTTCGTTCGTGTGTATTCGCCGGTGCTCCTCGACGTTTCGTCTGGTAGAGAACATACGCCCGCATATGTCGCACGCAAACTTTTTAATACCCTCGTGGGTCTCCTTCAGATGTCGAACTAATCCTTGCGATACCCTAAATTGCTTTCCACATAGATCGCACACAAAGGGCCTCTCACCCGTGTGAATCCTCATGTGCCACATGTATGTATACGGCGAATGCAAGTTCTTTCCGCAAATATTGCAGTGGTAATAGATCTTTCCGTCTACCACTAATTTAGCTGAATTTATTGCCTCGTGGTCCAGTTTCGTACTCCGCCGTCGTTCCTTCTTATTTCCACCAACGTCTTCATGCTTCTCTCGTATATGTTCGTTGATCTCCTCCTCGGTGTTGTACGTCGATGAACATAGCTGACAAACATATGAGTACGTCTCCGGGTCTTCGGTCGTCTTCACCAACCAATCATTTATATTAATCACGATCTCTTTTTTCTTTGAGCGTCGCCTGGCAGACTTCACCGCCGGTTCCGCCTCTTGCCACTCCCCCTTCTCGGCACCGCCCTCACTTTCAACCGTTTGACAGAAAACATTCAGACTTACATCTGGTCGACCTGTCCTGCAAAAAAAACGCGTCACATATCAGTGTTGCTCTAGGAAAGGAATCATCATTATTAATCGATGTAAGTCTGATTGCTTTCCATCAAACCAGAACATTATCTACATCTACCACTACCCATCTACCAGCAAACAAATATACTCACTCATCATTCACTTCTTCTTCTTCTTCCTCAACCTCCTCATCATCTTCTTCATTGGATTCAACTTGTTGATCAGGATCGTCACATTCCTCTTCATATTCATCATCTATCTTCATAGTTACTTTCATATTTTCCAACTTTTCCTTTGATTCCAAACATGTAAGGTACAACTCATGCCAAGTAATAAGTGTTGAAATACATGTCCAACAGCAGTACAAAGGCATGCCATCATTTTCGCTTACTTTTACAGGTAAGTATGTATTAATTTTTGTAGCAAGTTCATTGGACACGCCTTCCTCGTCGAATATTCCGATTACTTTCTCGTTGGTGTTCGTGCACAAACGGCAACATACTAAGGTATCGCTCATCTCAAGTCCTTTAATACTAGTATCGGCAACGTCCATATCTGAAACAGATTAAATATATGATAAATAAGGATAAACACATACATTTGACAACAGTGGTATATAAAAAAATGCAATTGTCAAGAAAACAAAACAAAGCGTACACATTTGACATTTAGTGATCAATACATTTTTATTGTATTTTTACGATAAACTAAATTATTCGTAATAACCTACCGATTTGTAATTTCTCAATTAATCCTCGAAATATTATAAATGTTATGCTGTATTTCAATGCATTATACTTTCATCATTTTATTGTTAGGGTTTGTTGATAATCCTGTTTTGTTTTGTAAATGTTGTTTTCCAGAAAAGCACAAACTACACTGTACACATTCTATACGGACGCCATGTTACAATCATCAACACTGCATACGAAGCAGCGTTGCCGTTCTTCTTCTTGCTTAGCGAGTAACTAGTTTCAGTGAATCAGTGGCGTAACATTAATATTTATCAAAATAAAAATTATCATGTACGAGAGTGGTGAGTTCAAAAATATAAAAAGAGAATAAAAAATTAAATGAAAAAATATTACAAAATTGTCATGTGTACCAACTTAAATAATATATTACATCTAAGAAGGACCATAGAAATATTACTAGAATTGTAAAAGGTCACTAGATCAATAACTCAGTAAAGTTATGTTTTGAGCAATTTATTTAAAAAAAAACTTTGCTTTTAAAAACATACATAACGAAATTGCAGTTACAAATCTTTTGTATATACTACTATATATGTTTAATTATTACTTTCCTGTTTCTCCGTCAACACGTATTAACTATTACAGTCATTTTAAGTATGCATAAGATTAATATTGTTTTATGTACAGTTAGTATTAAATGTTTCTGCACATCTTAAACGTACAATGTGAAAGAAACATCAGTCATCCTTGCTTCTCTTAATTTGTTCTATACAGGATTAGCCAATTCTTTAATAATCAATTATTTGGAGAAAGAATTACAAAATTCACTCTGTAGTTGAACTACATTACGATTTAAACATAAAAAAATAGTAATTGTAGTTATGCTTAATCAAACGCAAAAGATGTTTCTTTGACTAAACTTATCCTGTACAGTGGAACCTCGCTTAACGAGTTTAAACCGTTCCAAAATTTCCGTATTTTTACTCGTATAGTGAAACATATGAAGAAACAAGACTTCTGTTCTCATCGTCACTCGTTATGCGAAACGTCGCTCGTTAAGAGTCATTTTTCTTACAATTCGTTTTGCTCGTTAGGCGAGGTTCCACTGTATATGAATATTCCTGACATGTATTAATTACACAGCCGATATAAAATAATTGTAATCGATTGACAATAAAAAATGGAGATGCTTAGAAATACTTCATTGGAATATTTGATATTAGTAGTAGTAAACACTTGATTTGAGGATATTTTTTATCGAGTACGAATGATATAAGGAACGAATTTAATGTTTTTCACAGAAAGCGAAAAACAATTATTCATGCATGTATGTATAGTAAAGAACTTAAAACCTATATATTTTATGTATGTATACAATATTTTCAAATTTTAAAAATTTGTGCATTTTACATATAAATTAAATTCATTATAATCTATTGCTATTTATATATTTATAAAAACAAAACAAAAAAACAGATATAATCCTTCTTTGTTGTTTTATGCTTCATATTCTTTGCATTAACTTTGATAAACATTTTTTTTTTGTTGCTTTTTTATCTTTGTAAAATTGGACACACATCAATTGAGCATATATATATAAGTATTGTATATATGTACAACAATAATCCATGTTATATAATAATTCGATTTTGGAATAGTTTCAGCTGCTTGACAACAACAAATTAAAGGAACAGTAGTAACTTAATGAAAGCAATTGCTTCATACTTTTTTTTTTAACAGAAAATCGATTTGTTACAACATATGACCAGAAAAGAAATATATCTATATCATCTTTAGAATAATTTCGTCGATGTATTATTTACAGAAAATTAATGTAATCAATATTAATATTTTTTACAAAATGTTTAAATTTTCTTTAAGGCCGAAACATTAACTCGAATAATAGAAACAGAAATCGAATCGTTTAAATAAGGAAAAAAGCAATAATACAAATTGAACAACGTAAAAACCATCCCAATTACAATCTAAATTGTACAAAATAACTTAGTCTGTTTTTTTCTCATAAACTATATGCACCGAAGCTATGTAATCTTACCGTTATTATTATTTTTTATACACTTATAAAAAAAACACTAGTTTAGTAATAGTATTATAAAATATTTACAAATGAAGATTGTTCTCGAACGAACTTTGTGCACAGTAATGAATAATGGAACAAATTAAAATATATTTTATATATCAATGTCCGAGGAGTAAAAGAAAATTAATTGAAAAACGAAAACCCAAATTGAGATCAGAATCTTATAAATTATGTATGTATACATCATGATAAAATAATAGTAGAAATTATAATTCTGCTCACGCATTACGATGTGACAACTAATTTATACATAAACCAAAGTCTAATCACACACGGCGAAACCATAAAGTCAATTCAAGATCATAATGGGGTAATTACTTTTTTTTTCATCATCAATTTATCTTTTCTCTCTCCCTCTTTTTGCAAATCTCTTAAATTAATTTAGGATTCAAACACATCACGTCTTCCAGTTGTGTCGTTGCGCTCCTCCTTGGGGAGGAATCATGTCCAATAAGTATTGTCTTTGCATATCTGCCGCCCTCTGGATATCGGCCAGATTTGGGGTTCCTTTACCACTGGATGCAGCCTGCGCTATAGCCAATTGGTACGGGTAGAATAACGGAGATAGATGGAACATGTTGGCAGGAGGTCCACCGGCGGATAAAGCTATAAAAGATAATAGTAACACACGTTAAAACATTCTGCAGATGAAAAAATAAAACGTATTTACTTTGCATCATTTGTCGTTGTAGCGCTTGCATCGTCGCCGCCGTGAAATTGACATTGTCTTTAGACGATGAGTGGGAACTCCGGGCGGGCGGCGGCGTCGGTTGTGCTGTGGGCGGAGCAGGTGGCGTAGCAGCATGACGGGGCGTTGATGTAGGCGTCGCCGGTTTTGGAGCAACTTCGGGTGTCACAGGAGACGGAGCGGGACTATTCGATGTGAAACCGCCGTTCTAGATGTAAAAAAAACAATCAACTAAACGTTCTGCGACAACAAATTTTAAATGGTAAATTGTCAAAAATGTTGTTATTAATTTACCTTGCTATTTCGGGATAAATTGAAGGGTTTGTGGAATCAGGTACTAATTTCCTACAAAGAATTACTGAAAGGTAGGTTTTTTTCTCAAGGGATTGGTATTAGGTACTACTACTAACTACTGTTGGGTTTTCTTCAATCTCGAATTATTTCCGATAGCATAGGCATCGGATTATACTCGGAATTAAAAAAATTCCAACTAAATTAACTATCGAACTTACTTGTGCTAATCGCTGTTCGATTTCCTGTTCCTGTTGCAGCGCCTTTACGAACGCAGTCTTCAGTCTATTGGTGTGTTCCGCTTTTAGAGCCTTCTTCACATTACTAGTAACGCACTGTTCACAAATAACCTTATGCTCTTTAACTGTAACCAAATATTTGATCTATTAGTAAACATGTAATCGTATTATTGTAATGTCACCTTTACTTTTTCCTTTGACTGATTCCCATTTCCAAACGGGTGTAAAGTCCGATTGGCATTGGGAACAGTTGAATGGAGTGATGGGAGTTTGCGGTTTCGTTTCCTTTGTCAAAAAGTCAACTACATGTTCCAGGCCGACGAGATAAATAAACTCGGTGTTGCTTGGATTTGGAATAAAGTGCATCTCTGGTGGTGGGGGTTTGGGGGGTGGAATCTACAAAAAAATTTAAAAAAATACATTTATAAAGTGCAGAATAATTTTGTTTACTTATTATAAGTTATTCTGAGTTAGAAAGGCAAGTTAATTTTATTTAATTTGTTATAATATAATAACAATGACTTACCTGGAGCAATGTTTTCTCTAATTGTTTTCTCAGAGCTAATTTGGCAGCAGCCTGCCGCTGGGCAGGTGTCTGATTATCTTCTCGCGATGATCGATCCTAAATTGAATGACGAAGATTAGACAAAACTCATATAAACAAACAAAGAATAATAGTTATAAAAAGTAAGATGTTCAATTACCTGATCGGGAATAGTTGGAGGCTGTGCAAGAGCATTTGCCACTATACCCTTTCCTTCCAAACTACCCGTCTGGCAGCGCAAAGAGAAAGAAGTAAATTTGAATGATAATCAAATCAAATTCTTCGATCTTTAAATTATATAAAAGAAAACATGGTAGAGAAGACCATCTATCGTTACCTTAGTAGTTTGTGGAGGCGCAGCCGTTATCGTAACCGACGGCGGCAAATCCTTCACGCCAGGCGGAAACCCTGACCTTGACATCGAACTTCTCTGGGGTTGCGGAACCGATAGGTTGACACCTCTGTTGCCTATCGGCGATCCAGAAATCGGAGCACCATGCAAACTGGATCTTGCCGGTGGCGGTTGCTGTAAACGCATATCCTTCGTTTAATAACATTAGTAAACAAACATTATGATAAAATCGTACCCCTCGCATCATCGTCTGTGGAGTTACAGTGTTGGGTTTATGGGGTGCAGAGTGTCTAGCATGTGCCGCCTGTGGAGGTTGTCCCTTATTTGTAGGAACTTTGACGGTGGTCGGCGTGATGATCAGCCCTTGTGGTAGACCAGTTGGCGGTAAAGCCGATTGGGGCACGCTCGGAGGAATTGCTACATTCTCCTTGAGCTGTTGCGATTGCTTCAGCTTCTTGAGCAGCACCAACTTCATCTCTTCAGCCCTCAAATCTTCCCTGAGCCTCCTTAAACCCCGATCCCTAAAACAAGTATATTATTATAATAGAACTCGAAACGAAAGACTTCAATTACAAATTGTAATAACGTCATTACGGAGTGCTTCAAATAGATCATAGAACATGAAAGTAAATTTGAAAAGTGTGATTGCTACTCACACTGGCAAGTTATTATTACTGTGCATGCACAAATTTTGAATATTAAGCTAAAAATAGAGAAACAGTCATCGTGAATAAGCAATTGTTGGCAATACGTCAATTAATATAAGTGAATATTGATAAACAATTATTTTAATTAATTATGGTACTGTTAAAAATAATATTATTTTTCTTTAATTCATTTGGACAATAAACTTCAACATAATTATTCAACATGTTCAAAAATAACGAAAATTACATATTGAATATGTTAATATATCAAAATTTGTTTTCTCTTGCCAAATATATAAATATACTTTTATTTCAAGAAAAAAAAACATTGCTTGTGTAAAAAATCATAATTGTGATTTTTTTTATTTAACTTTTATATTAAAATATTTTGAAAACTACTGGATGTAAATAATATTATGGGTATTGTTACATCATATATTGTTTGTTAGAAAAAAATATAAAAGACAAACATGAAATTGAAAAACTATGGATAAAAAAATTAAAGACGTAAATTCTAAAAAAAAATACAAATTTGTTTATGTACGAGAATGTTTATCACATTTTTATTTTGAATATTACTATATAAACATTTATGAAAGCGTTTTCAAAACAAGTGAATTATGATTCATAAAAATAAGTTGATTTATTTCTTAGCAACGAAACTAATAATAGATAATGCAAATAATGTAGAAGAAGCAGCAAGTAATTGACTTATTGTATGCAAGCAGCAATATATTATACACTAAATGAATCATTGCTTTATAAATTGTGTTAATTGTTGATTACCTTTGTCGGAGTTCGGAGGGGCTCAGCTCCTTGATGGGGGCTAGCGGAGGCATCTCGAGACAATCGCTGGAATCGCTGCCGTAATCGTGTCCAGCCGAATTCCCGTTTGTACGAGGTCTGCTCTCCGCCGAACCGTTGACGATGAGCACGTCCGGGCTCTCCACGTAACTTGGACGGTGATCCGTCCTGGGTCTTAGCACCCTCCTGGGATGCAGCAAGTTGTTGCTGAGGAGAGGCTGCGTCGGCTCGATGCTGATGGAAGGCGGCGGTATGATCCGTACGACGTTTGAACTACTACGGAGATGCAGAAAAGAAGAACCAATCAAGTAAAAAGGGTGGTCAGGCAGGTCAGCAAGAGAAAGACGGCGAAGACGACGACAAAAAAAAATGACGACGACCACCACCAGCGCGTTACGCGCCGCGGATTTGAGGTTATGTAATAACACAACTGCGGCAAGCGCGCACGACCAATTTACCTGACACTCAAATCGACGACCGCCTCATCTACGTCCATCTTTTCCATCGACGCCGCTCAGTTGAAACCGAGAACCTAATCAACAGAAAAATAAGTTGATGGTAAAGAAGATACAAGCTTAAGAATAGGATGTTTTTCTCTTTCTCTCTCTCTCTCTCTCTATTGTTGTGACAGCTGTCAAATACGCTTGACACGAACTTATCACCCTGAGAACTGCAGAGGTGGATACGATGATGATAGCGAAAACGGATGGAATCGAAGCGGACAACGTAAAGTAAATGCAACAGGAAAAAAAAAAAGGAGAACGGTTTCTGGTATGTTGCCAAGCGCTGCGCAAATGTAAATGATCTCCTTCTCTCTCTATCTGCTTCTATACACGATAACGAATTTCACTCACCCATGTTTACATTTGTGCAAATAGAACAAACAAAAAATGAGGACGAGATGCACAGGGAAAAAATGAACTCGGCGTTGTTAAAACTACTTGAGTTTACTAAAAAAAAAGTTCGAAACGAAACCGAAATTGAACAAAACACTATCAAGGGTTGCTTGTTTTGTTGCGACTGGGAGGGTGGCTGCCTGGCTTGGTGTCGTGTACACCGTTGTTAGTAAGCTACACTTAAATCCTTCGGCGCCCCCACTCTCCGGAGAACACGTGCTCCCTAAACCACCCTAAACACTATCACTATACCGTAGGCCCACTAAACCCAACTATGAACTACAAACAATTACAGATACCGCATTCATATCTTATCAAGCATTTCGCAATATGGTTTTATTTAAGAAATAATTAATCAAAAAAAAAACTGAGAAAAAAACTTACGTGTAACGAGAATAATAATGCTGCTTATCAATAATATAAAACTGAAAAGAGCCACGTTAGCTTTACGCAATCGCGCGCACACACAACTACAGAAGCAATTACTTAAATCCACTACTATCAACTCGGTTATTACATGATCACTTAACGAGCATTTAAATATTTCCAAGGAACGACCCCAATTCAAGAACGTTTTCTGCACACGAGCAATGCGCGTTTAAAAAACGACCCATCATCATAACGTTATTACTAAGCGGTAACTGATTAGTTCGGCGGTTCTGGTCTTTCCGTCAACATCCCTCCCTCACTGTTTCGACATCATCTAACCCAGGGTTTCCCAAACTTTTCCTACATTTTTCACGAAACTCCTTGTTTTTTTTATAGTTAAAATAATGATAAAAAAACATTCATTATTCTTCACCATTATTCTAACACCCATTAACTTTCCAGTGTTCCGCGGAACATAGTTTAGTAAACCCTGATCTAACTTAACCGACCCAATCGATTAGAAGTGACATTCCGCCAAAACTTTAAAGTAATTCAAATGAACCTTAGTATTAGATTTTGTTCCTAAAAAAACACACATATAACGTAAATTAAGGATATTTCGTATGTGAAAAAAGTTTAATTTCAAATTTGTAATTTCACTACCTGCAAACATCATTTTCAATAATTTCATTAAAAAACAATAGTATATTGCAAGCATGTATTGTTCGAATAATTCAGTTTGACTTGCGTAAGTTAAAGTCGTCATCAAATCGAGTAATAAAAAATTTTACTTGTTTAACTTCGCGCCAAAAATTAAAAAAAAAATCATAAAAATTCAGCTTGCGGCAGCTACCGCCAGGCGAGGGAGAGAGAAGAGGTTGTGCGGCGGTGGTTGTGAATTTATTTTATTGGGAAGTTCTGGAAACGTCCACATGTACAGACAGATAAACAAAATCGTTATAAGAGGGGGGCTGTGCGGTGTGCGGCAGGCCGACAGGCGAGTCGGGCACAGCCACCCAACTTTTCGACCCACCCGGTTGTTTTCATCCCGGTTGTAGTATTTTCAGGTTCAGCTCCACCCCAAATTCGGAATTCCCCATTTCGCAATATATTACACTGCACAGCAACAGTAAAACGACAAAAAAAAACAATAATAATAATAATAACAATAAGTAGAATGTTAGAAGAAGACTACATTTTGATCACGTGTTGCCTGTACTTTGACCCATTACAAGGCAATTTAGATATGCTAATGGACACCTTCCAATGCCAAACTAATTCACTTTAATTAATTTATTTAATTTCCAATTATAAATTACGCAAGAAAAGAAATATAATTAGTAGTCTAGAAAACATCTAAATGGTTATTATTAACTTTTTTTTAATAATTACTTATTAATAGCCTGAAGATATAGATTATTATAATGCTCAATTACAATTTGAATTATCAACATCAATTCAACTACATTTATTTTTTGTAATTATAAAACTATTAATAGTACTTGTTTTTTTTTGTCAGGTTCTGTTCATATCTGATATTCTAGAAAATCGCCTCGTGTATTATGCATATAATTATACTTTATTATCAATAAGTAATAATAAGTTAAGACATTTACTGATTCGTTCACAATTTAAATACGCAATTATAATATAATTTGCAATACGAACATAGACATCGATTAACTACGAATCAAAACATACAGAAAACATGAAAATTGCTTTAAACTATGTTTATATATAATGTTAATTATGTTTTAAAAATGTTTATTGATCAGTATTTCTTATAGAAACATATCTCATTTCAAAAAAAAAGAGACCTGATTAGATTAGCCGAAAGTGATATAACAATGGATTCGATTCGTAAATATTAATGAGTAAACTATAAATAGATAAGCGTTTATCACAAAAACAAGACACAAATATTTAAAATAATATGAAACCAATATAACTACAATCTAAAAACTCTAATACCAAACTATATTAAGACTATTGACTAGTATACAGTGGAACCTCGCTTAACGAGCGATGTTTCGCATAACGACTGACCATGAGAAGAGAAGTCCTGGATTGCGCGCCTTTAAAAATGATGTATCATTTTTAAAACTTGTGTACACAAGATATTATGTGTATTTTTGAATATGTACATCTTTGTTTAAAGCAGACTATACTTTGCAAATATATACTTTTATAATGAGATTACCACCAAGTCCCCGAATTGATAAAAGTAACATAAACTCACTTCACCGTGTCTGAATTGGAAAACAGATCCTGGTCATTCTAGTTGCATCTTAGTGTTGTTTATGATCACAAAATTTCCAAACATGTGTTCAGACAAGTTATTTGTGTTTTTTTGTGTGCAAATTTTAATAACACTTGCATGTCTCCGAATAAAAAGCCAAAGAATAAAACAAAACATAGATATGAAAAGATCCGATGAAACTATTTATATCAATTTTGAAAAATAATTCAAAAAAAGTTTACATACCATGGAAAATGTGCACTTGAAATTTTCGGTAAAAAAAAGTACTTTTAATTTAGATTAAGAATGCGCAAAGCTACAAAACGAAAGCTAATTTTGATAATGTGTTGTTGATTTTCATTGTTTTAATAATATTTATTTCGAGGCCTCGCGCATAAAGAAAATTTGATATGTTTATCTAATTCTCATTAGTTATTTGCAACCGTTGATAACGGCAAAATGCAAACAATAATAATAAGATTATGTTTCCTAATAATGTCACTTCTATAAATATAATGATTACGACGTTAACGTAACATTAAAACTAATAGCGGTGAACAAAAAATTAACAATCGAAAGCGTTGCAATCGATCCTTGTTTTTTTTATGACTATTTAGAATGAAAAGCTGTAAAAACAATACTTTCATTGTCTGAAGAGGTAAAGAATACCTAGACAACAAATTTATATAAATATTTCAATTCTAGGAATAAAATTTATTTCGTCCATATCACAATTATACAGATATAATTATTAAAAATATAAATCACAGCATTGATTAATGTAAATATAAAAATAGCAAATATTTAATAAACGAAATTGTGAACATTTCGTTAAATATTGACATATAAATAATATATTTAAGTAATAGTCACGTAATAAAAAGTATACACTAAAATCGAAATAATTAACTCCAGTTTGGGTACAAACTGATAAATCACTGAATACATTGTAAGCGATTCCAAAGGTGACTTTACTCAGTCATTATTGAAAATTTGTCCTTGAAATAGTAAATACACAAGGCTTTAATCATAATTATTCAATATTTAAAAAAAAAACGGAAACGAGATAGGAAAAAATGGCGTAAAATATTTAAAAAAAATAAAATAAACATCTTTTTTTTTTAACTATGCCATTCTTAGCAATCTCCTTGTAGATATTATTCATACCAAATTATTATAAAGTTGTTGATATAGTGACTGCATTCAGTATTTATCGAAATAATGAATGTCATTTAACAAATATGGGACTATGCCAAGTATGTAATAGAAGGTTTTCGTATCCAATTATAGACGAAACGTTACTTTATGAATTTTGATTTATAAATCATAGACATATCTACTACGTAAATATAGTTAGACAATAAGAAAACTTCTATTACAAAATATTTTATAAACGGCCTAAGTTTTGTTGTCCGAAAATACAAATCTGTTCGTTATTTGATATATTTCCAATATAACAAACCTTTAGTTATTTCTGTACTATTAAATACTCCTCATTTTGCATTATAATGATATACTTGTATCAATGTATCTTCTTATATTAATACCATTTAATATATATTTTTTATTTTGTTGCGGTAATGCCAAATTTAACAAAAAAATAAATATGTTAAAGGTCAGTTTATAAATGAATAATTTATTTTAGTAAATATTGTTTATCGTAAATATTTGCTTACTGTGGTGATCTATTACAAAATAATAAAGTTTTTCGCTGCGCCATTCGAGGTCGTCTTTAAAGCTGATTTAAACGAAGTTTTTTTCTTCTTTCCATTTTATTCATCAATTAACAAAGAAGCAATCAAAGCAAAAAATGAACAAAAATCAGTACATAAGGAAAACCAAAGCAACGCAATATTTGAGAACACACATTTCGGATGGAGTTCTAAACTACCCGGTGTTCGATTTGAACTGGAAAATCAAAAGGCTTTGGCAACAGTTCAAGTACGTGCTCTGAATGAGACAGGACAGTGTCCAAATGTAGTATATTCTACAATGGAGTGATTAACTACGTGTCATTTGTTTCATTCCTACAAGTAAATCAGATTTCTAATCGGACGCTAACTAATCAATGAACGTAATATTAATAATTCGAAACACTAGTCTAAAATCGTGTCCGCTCACGACCTCGTTACAAAACAAAATTTTTCTTTTTCTTTATTTTTTTTTCCTACATCAAACGTTTGTAGCATTTTGAGAAAAATGCAAATACGTAACTAATTTACATTGACAATTCTAATTAACACAGAATTGTTAATTGTGTACTTTAAAACAATATTTATGTGATCAAAATTGATGATTTTCTTTATTAATTACGAAAAAAAATTGTCATGATTATTAAAGCTTGCTTGACGACTTTACTAAAGTTATAAATAGAGACAGTACTTGACAATTCATGGAAATGAGCTACTAAAGTTAAGCAGTGCTTGTGCCTGATAATATTTGCATGGGAGATCGGAACCCTCTGCCATCTCGGGACTTAAAGTATATCATATTGGTAAAACTGTAATGATTTGGAAACAACCCAGCAAATACAGTTAGTAGTACCACCATTACTACTACGCATTATCGTTTTTAAAAACGAGGCGTGATTTTTGATCACTAAATCAATCCCATATATAAATGTATGTGACGTTCTAGGATACGTGGATCTATTTTAAACGTATTTAGGATTTATCGATACGGCGTCGAAGGGTGACGAAAAAAATCAAATTTCCTTGCCAACAACCGAAATTTATGGAGGCAATAGACAACACTTTTCGCGAAAACTATGTTTCCATGCATATTTAATAATTAAATATGGATGTTTCGAAACGCGCCATCGCGAATTCATTGCGAAACAAAATTTATTTATTACAATTATTAAATCGAGGTTGCGTAACGAACGAACGGCGGGCGAAGCGCGTTGCTACGTCACTGTCATAATTTGTGCACGATGAGACAAAACATGTCAATTCAGGAGAAAATATATGTATATATTATATATTCGTATTATTACACACTTTGGAATACTTGATAAGATACGAATTTTCGCTTTAGGTTTTGCTTAAATGTTTCGACGATAAATAAATTTAAAGCGCCCCTCAAATGAAAACTGCATGTGAACAGTGCGAATTGAGGAGATGTTCTATTTCGAGATGGCTTTGGAATTAATAATGAAGAAAAAAGCAACAAGAAACAAGTCGGTAGCAGAGGTTGTTATTTTTAGGTTTTTGTTTATGTTGTGTGTCGATTGGTAAGTGCTGTTACGAGAATAGCTTCGGAATTTGGGTGAAATTTAAAGTTACTCGGCGTTTCCTTCTTCACGATCCAACGGATTTGTTGTTTGTTAAATGTCGGTAGGGTTTTTTAATTGATATGGAAACTGGCAACATGAGGGGGGAAAAGCGCGAGGACGTCCGTCTTTGATTGACCGGAGCGACGTCGGTTAATGTCCGCAACAAACGATGCTCATTAACCAAGTGAGAGAGAGAGAGAGAGAAAAAAAAGAGGGCGCAGATCGCAAATAAGTAACCTTAAAATGAGCGAAAGGGATGAAATCTGAAGATCTTAATAATGTTAATATTGAGAGTCGCTCACCTGTACACCTTCCGTTCTGGTTTGATGACTGCTTCTCCTGGGTATTTGGGGTTCTGATAAAACTCGGCGTTGACAAATCGATTATAGTCGTAACACACTCATATACACTTTTTCCTCATTAAAAAAAAAATACACATATACGCACATACACACAGTCACTGGTCTATCTTCCTATCCTTTTCTAACCCGTTCCGGTACTGATCCAGACTCTTAACCCGGCACGCAGAAACCACAAACAAACCCCGTGTCCATCTCGCGCGCGTCACTTCCGGTTTCCGGGTTACCCTTTCCCCGCCACCGGATGTCACTATAACTCGTACTCCTGCTCACTCTGTTACAGCTCTATCTCTTTCTACACTGAAAGCGCGGGTGTGCTGTAATATTTGTATGTGTGTGTGCGTGTGTATGTATGTTAGCAGTCGTCGGCTCACTTCACGCCAGGCCCGAAATTAACAGGCGACTGGTTCGAATCAGCTCAAATTCAATATGGCGTGGCCTTGTGTTGTGTTGTGTCGCTGATCGTCGACCGCGCCGCGTCTCCTCGTCGTCCACGTGTCTGTCCGTCTCGGTCGTGCGCAACCCTACAATCGCATGACGTACGTCTGTGATGGCATCAACTTGGAATCCCAGTCACAGGATGCAACAACAAAACACAACATAACCGTAGCTCCATCACTTTCCAACTTTCACGTCTGACGTATGCTAAACCATAGTACGCACCGTTTGGTTAAGCCCCGCCGGTATATCCATCTCTGCTTCCAGCCGCAACCAATTGCACCGTATACGTCCACAACGGTTACAGACATCCACTCATTTGCACTATTTTTGTTTTGTTTACGATTAAACATTTCCTACCTACTCGATTTAGTTTAATCATATTTGTCTAATTAATTGTGACAGACATACAATTACAAAATGTACATGTTTATAAAGTTTTATTTTTGTATAAATTTCCAGTAAAGATAACTTGCTTATTACACAAAAAATCAATATTTCTGCATAATTATAACATACCTTCAAATTGTATTTTTTTTTGTGGTTGGTACAATTTAAGAGACATAGACATAATATGTCATAAATGACATATTAAACATTAATAATCAATCAAAAATTGAATAAACACATCTGCGTAATTGTAACAGAATTTTATTTTTTATTTGGAATAATTCTGTATTTTTTTCATAAACAATTCACAAAATTATTATAAAGTTGTTGATATAGTGGCTGCATTAAGTATTTAACGAAATAATGAATGTCATTTAACAAATATGGGACTATGCCAAGAATGTACAAAATGTACATGTTTATAAAGTTTTATTTTTGTATAAATTTCCAGTAAAGATAAATTGCTTGTTACATAAAAAATCAATATTTCTGCATAATTATAACATACCTTCAAATTGTATTTTTTTTGTGGTTGGTACAATTTAAGAGACATTGACATAATATGTCATAAATTACATATTAAACATTAATAATCAATCAAAAATTGAATAAACACATCTGCGTAATAGATATAATTCTGTATATTTTTCATAAATCATTCACAAAATATTTTGAGGTAAATTTAAATAAATAGAGAAATTTGTAAATTGTCATATGAAATTTCAAATTATCCAACAAAGAAATAATTCACGTGACAAATGTGTTCCAAATTGTAAATTTGATTTGAAATACAATTATTCAGTATTTGGATTTAATAATGCCCATTTCCTTAAAACATCGATTGTATAGTTTATGAATATTTTTTCTATTGAAATTATCGAATTGGGTCACTAAATTATTGAATCGGTTATTGTTAATGTTTGACATTCAAATTGATGGTGATTTCGGTGTCTCATGTGATGAATGCATGGGATGGTTTGCTGTTGCGCTGCGGATCCACACGGAATTTGTTTCAGGATGCAAAAGTTGTTTCCGCAGGCTTTTGCTGTGGTATAGAGAGGAAGGAGATATATAGAGATCAATATCAAAAAGGGAAAATGTACGCGTGTGTCTAAATAGGGCGCGCCCTCACATGTACACCCACACACGCGACAAAGTACACGCAAATAAATAAAATTGTATTGATTCATTAATTACAATTAATGATAATTTTGCTTTGCTAAATGATAATTTTTTTGAAATGTTAAAACTATGTTTTATAGTCGATGCCACAAATCCTGAAATCAATAAATATTAATCATATTTTAATGAAAATACAAATAATAATCAATTGTAACAATTATGTAGAAATTTACGATTCCTGGAAATCTTATAATCTTGTTAAGTAAACTGTTGTAGATCGAGATTGCTATTTATTTGATGATGATGAAGGAAACAAAAGTTAATTGAATCTTTTGAACTGTCTGAAATCGTTCTGAACATTGTAGAAAAGTAAGGCAAATAACTAAAGGAGTGTTTTGGGTCATGTGATTTAAAGGAAAACATTCTTCACTATTTGAATAACAACAATAAAATATTGTAATTCAAGTAGCGCCTCTACAGAACTAACGTCCAAGCTTAATTAAAAGCAAAGAATCATAACCTCAACATGATTAGTGGCGCCTCGCTAAGAACTACCGTTGAACTAAGATTAGATGACTGCGCCACCACAGTTGCCATACTTAAATGGGTCTATATCGCAAGCCCGACAACCGAAAGACCGTCTATTGAAATCCCGAGTGTATCGAAATCCCGACGTTCGAAATCCCGGCTGCATTAAAATACCGACGCTTGAAATCCCGACCATGTCAAAATCCCGACTCGGGATTTTAATGCAGCCGGGATTTCGATACACTCGGGATATAAATTTCTACAATAACATTTTATTAGTGGTGATTAGTCGGGATTTCGATATAGTCGGGATTTTGATTGTCAGGATTATGGTAGTCGAGATTTTAATGCAGCCGGGATTTCGAACGTCAGGATTTCAATACACTCGGGATATAAATTTCTACAATAACATTTTTATGTTAGTCGGGATTTTGATA